AAAACATGGTTGTGCACCATACAACGTTTCATCACTCGGTACTCCCTCCAAACCGCGCGAATTCCAACGAATGCCGGACAGTCGATATTTGACAGCCTAAAATTGGTTGAATACATTAGAAATGAGAGTCATAAGTACCTGGATACAGTTGCGCCGCGTCTTCTGTGATTTACACAGCAATATTTGATGAAATAATACGGGATACCCTCAGATAGAGTCAGTTTCCGACCAAACTATCGTGCAAAGTGAAAGTAACCCTTTAAAATTCAAGGAAATCCTCCAAGAATCCGTCCAGCGATCCACAGCAATCTTTCACGACCTCTTCGTTGGTACGAGCGTAAAAGTGATCGTCGGATTTAGGTTGCGGCATTTGTACTTTCTGGACAAAGTCAATTAGGGTTCATTAAAACAAATTAAATTTTAAAAAATCACTCAGAATCAGCCAAAAGCAAAATCTGTTCCATTTCTGCTGAATTTGACATCGCTTTTTCTAAATTACATGTAAAAATAGGTCGTTTTTAGAAATCCTAATAGTTGGGATGCCACGCCACTACCCTATTCTGATTACCACAATTTGGCATCGAGCAATGGAGAATCTTGTCATTGAACCATTGAACCTGCACGAAAGCCCATCAGAGATCGAAGAGTGGGTAGAACATTTCGAGTTATGGTGCAGCATCCGGAAAGGAGGAATGCAAAATCAGTCAGTCCTATTTTTGACTTCGGCGGCTGAGAGCTGTATTCCCTGGTGAAGAATCTAGCTTTCCCGAATGTTCCTGCTGAATTGCCGTGCGAGAAGTTGAAATCCCTATTTTTGGACCACATTCTCCCAGTGGATTTTTAGGACGCTGAACGGGCCAAATTCAACAACATCTCATTACCACTTAAGATGTTGGAAAAGAAAGATATCGTGTTTGCCGAGGCTCGAAAACTCTGTGAGCAACGTGATGATTTGTGTGCTGCCACAAATGCGGATACTCCTATGTTATTCCATCGGCAATCAAAGAAACCCTTACGTGACGCACACAATGTTCATAATTCACCCCAGGTTCCTCAAGTACTCAGTTCAAGCCGAGCACAAACGAAGGCTGCCACCAACCGCTGTTTTTCATGTGGTGAATACCATTTACGTTCGACTTGTCGATTCCGTAATGCCACTTGCCATGCATGCGGTAAGATGGGCCATATCCGCAAAGTATGCCGAATGCCCAAGTGCAACCTCATCGACTCCCATATCCCAACGGCAGATGAGAACTCAAACCCCATCTATACCCTGCAGACCACTGAACCCAACGGCCAGTGTAACAGTCAAAAAGACTGAAAATTCCTCTCAATTACCTTGCATTTCCTTATCTTTCTTCGCCATTCTATCGTGCATTCCTTCCTACAGTGGTTTTCATGTCGGTAAGTTTTCTCTTCTGAACCTTCTATTTCACCTATTTTGCGATGAAGTATATCTATTGGACACACACTTCAAGCGCTTTGCTCTTACATGTAAATGAGATTCAGTGCTTTTTCTTGTTTTATCGCGACCAAAGTTTCGATTGGACGCTCGTTGTTAAACTAACCGTTGCTTTCGGTTATATTAAACCCCTTTTGGCTGTAACGCTCAAGATTATTTTGCTTGATCTGTTGAAGCGTGCAGAATTTTCCTATTGATCCAGAATTATCTGAAAGGTAGTTTAAATCACTCATTTCCTTATTTACTTGTTAGTACCGCAGATATTTTCTGTGAATATTTGTAACATTTTGGCTCGATAGTGAGTCAGACTCACTATCAGAGGTATGACTGCCTTGTGTATTTGTGATTAATGCGAAAATAGTACCGTAGATTATTTTTGGTTCGACTTGGTTCTCGATAATTTGGACTACGCGTTGCTCTGAGATTTATTTATCGCTATCCAGAACGAGTGCAGAATCATTTGATTGAACGCATACAGACGAGGTCTTTTTCGTTTGGCTCGGACCAGGACAATCGCGTTTTGGTCGCTACAGCCAGTTCGTGTTCACCCCACTGAGGTTCGAGTCTGGTGCGGAGCATCGATTCATCATAGACACAGGAAGCAGCGAATCTATCCTACCAAAATCAGCACTCACTACGATTTGTCCTAATGTTGTTCTAGCCCCGACTTCTGTGCGCATTCCTGGGGTTACTGGCCATCAGCTGCAGTTACTTGGCGAAACGATGTTGTGCGTTCAATCTGAATCCGGCGTGTCAAGCCCAATCCGATTCCTGGTATCAGCCCACAGTCCGTCTATTCTGGGTTTTCGAGCAATTCGGCTACTACAAGGATCCATCACACTACACACCAACAACGATATGACAATCACCTCACATTTTCAACATTTGATTGTACAGTGTTCCGGTAACGTTGGTGGCATGAAAGTACCGTCGGTGAAGTTAGAAGTGGACGGTGGATGGTGTAATAAGTAAAGTTGAATCCAGTGCTTTGNTTTGGCTGCTCTGATCGTCGTGGCGATGAAAATTGATGGTAGGACACCACGGATCTGTGGAGACTATCGACTAAAGTTGAGTCCCAGATTGCGGAGATGTGCAGCGACCACCATGGAACCAGAGGATTTCACGAAGTCATTGCATGGGTGCCTGTATTTTTCCAAGATCGATTTGGCGGACGCATACCTACAGATTCCACTCGATGTCGAATCTCGCTACTTGACAACAATTGACACGCCGAGGGGAATGTATCGGTACAATTTTCTCCCATTCGGATTGCATGTCCGGCCTCTTTCAATCGGCAATAGACAGTGTAATCAAAGAACTCGACGGTGTGCTTTCATATAAAGATGACGTCCTCGTTTTCGGCCTTAATAAGAAAGAACACGATGCCCGTCTATCGCAGCTACTTGAACGATTTGCCGCCAGGAACGTGGCTATCAAGCCGTCTAAATATGTGTATGGAGTGAGTGAGTTAGAGTTTCTAGGATTCACAGTAGATTCCCGTGGATACCGCCCCAACCCGACACGTTTCAAACCATTGACTAACATCAAATCTCCAAGGGATCAAACGCATTTGAGATCCGTGATGGGATGCCTACAATTTATCCCGAACTTTGCTACAAGAGCGCAGCCGCTTTTCCATGCTCAGTATTCAGACGCTTGGGAATGGTCGGTGGAGTGTGAAGAAATCTTACGTGGTTTAATCCGTGCCTTACTGATCGTCCTGTTCTGGCCACGTTTTCACCTTAAAAACCCACTACACTCATCACTGATGCGTCCGACGTCGGAATCGGTGCTGTATTAGAACAAAAAT